TATTTTCAAAAATGATCATCCTAGAAAAGGTGATTGCCAAAAGTATTCACTTCGCTTATTTATACGTTATGCATGAATATACTCTTTTTAGTCAATCTAACATAAATTACTAATGCTCAAAACAAATTCAATTTTCAATATTCTGTTTCCTATTTGTTCCTGTTCAATGAAACAAATTCATACACAGCAAATCCAAATGCATCGCTACAGGTAGATGATAAACCAGCTCAGTACGTAATTACAGTTGCATCCGGAAAAGAGTACATATACATATAATATATAAATATATATATATACGATATACAACGATATACAATATATATATATATAAATATTATCGTTTTTTAGGATGTATCTATAATATGTATCATTTTACTTTACTAAAATATAATATTCAATTTTGTAATTTAGGAATATCTTCCCCCTTATCATGTATTATCAACTTGTACATTATCAGCTTCAATTATCAGCTGTATTTTATAAACCTGAACATAGAACGCAATTTGATTTTGCATTTCAGTATCAAGTGAAATCTTGAAACTGATTGTTCATTATAAAACTTTATGTAGTTTTTATTCAAAGCGGATCTCAGATAATGTGCCGCAAATTTTTTCCACACTAAGTTTTTGTGCAAATAATACGTCCTGCTAGTGGTTTTTGTAATAAATGCATGTTATTAATTGATTTCGAATTTCGTTGCATCTTGATATTGCTGCAAAAGCTATTCAATCAAGAATGGTATCTTTTTACTACGTTTATGTGTATGGATACATAGACCATTTCTCCGTGTACTAGAAAAATTTCATAATGATTTATCCACTTTGAAGTAAAAAATAATAGTTAGGAGTGTTATACATTTTATAATACAAGTAAAAATATATATAAAGCTCTGGAAAGTGCTAACACATATTATGGAATATTATGGATGGTAATTTATGAAATATTATGGATGGATGAGTAAATGAAATATTATGTGCATGCTATATATGTATACACATATCATCAAGTATAAAATCATTTATATATAATTTTTATGTCGCCGATGAAATACCGAAATGCTTAAAAATCTAGTATTTTTAAAAACTGTTTACTTCCGCAGAATAACGGCAATTATGAAACATTACGCAACATTGAAAAGCGTGATGACAATTTTTTCGAAAAGAAATAGCGACTGCTGCACGTATCTCACAGATATCTTTCATTCAAAACAAAAGTGAAAAAGTTCTATTCCTGTTCAAAACATACCCTGCAGTCTGTCAGACGGAAGAAATGACAGACAGGTCTTTTGTTCAACTGAGGGGAAGTGTTTTATGGCTTACTCACTTTCCCGCCAAACGAGTACAGTGGAAGGGAAGCTTCGTTGCCATAGTAACCAGGCTATAGGTAGTCTTACAGATTTGAGTCTTTATCGCTCAACGTTTGTAGCGCCATCTGTTATTAAAAATCGACATGAGAAAGGGGTATTAAACGCTCTTAAGCATTTTTGTTGTGATAATAATAAATTTTTGTTCATTTTTCATCGGACTTGTGTATTCATTTCGTAACGAACCCGTACGCACGCAACAATATGCTTTTACGGATATAATCTGAAATCCTATGATCAGGGTTCGATGTTTCTCTTCCTTCTCCTTCATTTATATTAGCTTTTACTGCCCCATCATGTATGATCTTAGTATGTTTTTTAACTTTTTGTGTGCGGAGTTCCTTTTTGCATAATGTCCGTACGCGCGCTGTTGGAGCTTTGTTTATATTTCCTCATGCCTTCCACTTGATAGAGACCACAGTTCATTGAACTTCAGTACTTTATGCAAGAAAGAGAACAGGAGAATTTATTTATCCTTGAAATTAGGAATGCGTACGAAGATGAAGTGAATTTTTCTGTTGCTTATTCATTTATTTTTGTTATAAATTTCAGTACATAGATTTAGAAATTTTATCTCCCACACAAAAATGATTGCTTGTTCTGTAAATATGAGTACCTTTCTAAAGCTTAACTTGAGTATTCAGGATTTTTTGCATACAAAAAGCTGGGATTTTGTTTACTTTTCTCCCTGCTGGGTAATTGTTGAAGTCTTACGAGGATGTGTTTCAGCTGGGGTTTCTTGGTTATTTCGAGAGTGGATCGTTGTGGTTAGAAAGATACCGTTATTTAGGTCTACATGATTATTTCGTAACGCTGGCGATTTACTCGAAATATTTAGTACTTTTATCTGCAGCTTCACTGTGCGTTGTAACTTACCGCTGTTTGCTTTTTAAGCAGTTGTGTATGGATATTTCTCTTACTCTCTTTTTTTTCCCCCCTGATGATGTCTCGAATTGTGTGTGGATATCTACTTTTGGCTGCTTCTGTGTTCCAAAATATGTATGAAAATCTATTTTTGTCTGATGTTCTTGTTGTGGAACAGTGTTTGATACACCTGGGTGCCTAGGCTGACGCTTTACCCCAAATCGAACATAGTTGAAAGTTTCGAATATTTTAGAAAGTAACTTATTTGAGATATAATAAGTTTTTTAATTTAAATTTTGAAGAGGTTCACGCCCCATAAATTCAAGCCTAAAAGCTGTCTAACTGAATCTATGTTATCAGGTAAATTTTGAATCAATAGGTCTCAAATGGTGAACAAATACCTACAATACGCACAAGATATAAATATAAATGGCATAAATAAAAACAAAGAATACCGAATAATATTACAAAGTAAATATAAAAATCAGACTTCCAAGTGTTACGAATTTGGTATTTAAAAAGCTAATGTTAGTTCAATTATAAATTAAATGGTTTTATTTCCCGCGCAGTGCAGCGCGTGACGAATATTAAAAGAAAGCTAAGCCGGAAAATTGAAAATACAAGAGCGCGTGCATTAAAGCATTTAATAAATATCTCTTTTTGATTTCGAGAAAGTACTAGAAAATCCTTTTTTTGAAGCACTTGCACCACAGCAGAAGAATGATGTGTTATTTTTTAAACACTGAAAAAACAAATTTGATGATTCACTTCTTTCACATTATCTTGGATTTATCACAAAACGATGATTTGAAGAGCTGAATTAAATTTTCCATTGAGGTTTCAGGCTGCAGGAAACTATCCTGCCGGCTTAATTGTCATAATAAGAGCAAAACAAGGAAAAGCCGGAGCAGAACACTGTAGATGCGTGATTAGACCCATACTGAAGAAGAATTTGATTGCGTAGTATGCTAGTAATGCTAACTTGGTAATATCTAAAGAACTTGGCAGTCGAGGCAGTTTTAATTCCATTTTTATTTGCAACTGATATTTGTGGCCACAATCACTTGGCACTCTAGTCGTGCCTTTCCACAGAAGCAGTCCCTATATACAAAATTTCAACGTTCTAGAGCTACTCCTTTTTGAGTTATGCGAGATACATACGTACATACAGATACATACGAAAAAGTCTCTTTTGAATCCATTTTGTACACATGGCACGCAAAAACACCTTTAAAATAGCGTTCGATAGCGGTCAAAATGTATATTTTCGTTGGAATATGATACCAGAAAATTTTCGCGATTACAATACCTCCTTTACTTCATACAAACAAGTAAAAATTGCTGAAAAAACAGTCTCATCCTTTTGGTCATCGAATGAACGACAAAGTACCATAGTTAACTTTTAAATAAAAGTTTGAATGTGAAGTTTTTCACTTCTCTCTCTCTCTTTTTTCCTCAACCTTAAGAAAATTCAGCTTCGTACAATAATTGTTAAAATAATAATATAGATATAACAGGATTTATATTTTTTTAAGTCGCATGCGCATTCGACTATAGGGACTCACTTAAGTTATTGATCCTGCTGCTCTTTATACTAGACACTAAATTGTCACTATACTATAGGTCTACCATAATTTCAATGAAAGAAATTGAAATTTTGCTAACAACTATAGGTAAATATTGTACTTATATAATGAAACGGAATATGTATACACGTCACCAAAAATATGGGATAGTTCTGTAATTTCAATTCTACCTATCCGATTAACGAAACTGGCGTTTTTCATGTCTCGAAAGCGCGACTTACGGTATACGGTATATTCCGGCGTATAATGTGCACTTATAATATAAAACTACACTTTTTAATTTTTAAGCATATTCGCCGTATCACGCCCCCCCCTTTTCTTACCAAAGAAACCTGAAAGATGACATTGTGCAGTATTCTTATCTTTTAAAGTCATTCATTAGAAGATTTTTCCCAGGCTTTCGAAAAATGGTATACCGAAATGATAAGTGATATGGGGAATGCTTAACTCTTTCAGGACGGGCGTCCCATATACGCATTCCCTAAGAACGTCTCTTACAGCCGGGCGTGCCATCCACGCATCAGTAAAGATCGCATTCAGAGGACGGGTGATGCGTATACGCATTTTAAGGTGGAACGTTTTTCTGAAGGCCACTAGATGGCATCCTGTGTCATCTTTTGAAATGAACACAGTTTTAGGTTCCTGACCTTGAGTTTGATATATTCTGCTTGCCTTTGGTATTTTACTCATCAGCTGTTCGAGGGTGGAGGGGCGGAGGGAAAGCGTAAACAGAGGTGGGCTCTTTAAATCGCTGCGTGCTAATGAAAACATTCTCGTATCTGATTTAGGCTTAATCCAGTATCCGGTGCATATGGGATTTGGTACTTTTGGCGACTTTATGATGAGCAGTAAAAACGAACATACGATGAGTATAACGTATTCAAGAATGTTTAGTTTATATAGTTATAGATGTACTATGTATATAGTGATAATATAATAACGTTCTTGGTTATTTTGTGTTTCGATATTTTCAAAATCGCCCAAGCTGCCCGTTACTAGGATTTTACCCTGTTTATACAATCTTTTTTTTCTATTTTTTCCTTGCATGTCATACCTCCTATATACGAAGCCAAGCCTCTAGGGTTGCTTGAACGGTCTGACGTCATCTAAGTCGTCATTCCTACCATCTTCCTCGTGGCAAAGAATGAAAGAATATACTTCGGTGTCGTAGTGTGAACTGACTCTAATAGAACATTTTTCATTTAAATTACTTTATTTATTTTTTATTATGCCACATAAATGCTGTGTTGCAACATGCAAAGGAAATTATAAGAATGGCCCGAAGGTGGCTGTATTTAGTTTTCCTACGGAAGAACAACTGAGAAAACAATGGATTTGGAACTGCAAACGAAAAGATGGATTCAAGCCTACGAAACATTCAAAGGTAAGCATGCATTTCATTTTTAAATTAGAAAATTCCTGAAAGATTAATGTCATTGAAAGAAACATGACTTGAAAATGCGAAAACAAAAAATTCTCAATGCAAGGGAAATAATTTACTAAAGTTCCATTGCATTCAACCATAGAAAATAAAACGAAGTTTTAATTACTTTCTATACAAGCATAGTTATATATTTATTTACTAGGCAGAAATTTCTCTTATCCCATTATGAATGAGTATTATTAATGAATTCTTTCAGTAATTTATATTTTCGGCGTCGGGATCTTTATAACACGCACATTGATTTGGGATTGAATTAATCTTTCAGGAATTTATGTTATACAGAGCTTATACTGAATTTTAAAGTGATTATAAAATGGACCCTTTTCTCAATAACTAGTCAATAGAAAATCCACCAACCTTATAAAGTTCATATTATAACTTTAAGTAGATAAATATAAAATGCTTCAAGTCGTAATTTTAAAGCCGTTAATTTAAAGTTGTTTTAGATATAAGTATTTAACTGTTTGGGTATACTATTTCTTTTGATTTAGATAAGTCTCGTTCCACCTATTTTATTTTTATTTTTTTTTTCTTTTTAAAACTGAATGTATGCAATGCCCCTTTATTATATGCTAGGAGCATTTGAGAATGCATTTTGCTCGTAACTCATGTGAACAGGAAATTAATGCTAATTATGCAATGTTCTAAACTTTATTAATTCTAAAATCCTTAAAAAAATTATGAAATATATGTAAAAGAAAACAATCGTATAAATGGACTAGTTTTGACAGTAATTATTTTAATTTCTGGAATAAGTTACAAGGTGTTTAAATTAAACTGTCTTGTTCAAATAATATTGCCTAAGATTGTAAGCTTACTAGTTTTCATTACATGTTAGCATAAATCCTAATTAGCCTATTAAATTGTTTCATGCACACACACATCTATAAAAGTACGAGTTTCTTCTTATGCCAATAACACCTACCTTGTTACAGTGGTTCACTTGCTACTGGCAGTAAGTTCTTGTGGGCTTGAAATTTACATTAATTTCTTATCTAAAAACACTTATATAAGGGGTTTTGTTTATTTATACTTGTTGCAGTGGAATATGAAAATGTTTCATTGTATTAATAAGTTATATAACTTTTAAAATTTTTGAAAAAAGTTAAGAAAATTATATGGAAAATAAGCAATCTAGTGAGCCTTCCACAGTAATATAATGTCAAACACGATTGATGAATGTGAATATTTCACTCCAAAATTACATAAGAATAGCCTAAAATATTTAATTACTGCAAATAAACTGTTAAATATACAAATTCTTGTTTTTTTTTCTTTGTGTATCATATTTTAGCACTTATACTTGTTTTCAATAATTCAAGAAAAATGAATTTTTTTAATGACTAATGATGTTTTATGCTCTTAAATATAAACATTCATAGGCACACAAGTAAATTTGTACTTCTGGTTGTGAACATATCATTTGTAAAAATGTTTAGAAAAAGAGCCAGTAACTTTATATTTGAATGGTACGAATGAATGTGGTTAATCTTATTCTTATCCATCAACTGATGGTTAATCTTATTCTTTTTATAACTGTATTATCACCATTTTGAATGTAATTCCATAACCAAGTGTTGTTTTCAAATAACTGAAGAAAGAAATATTTAGGATGTAGCAATTATATATACATGAGCAATTGTATGTTACCTGAGGATGTATCAATTAAATATTACTTATATTATGTTATATGCATTTGACATATGATGACAACAAACATGTGCTAATTATTTGCACTTTTCAAAACTTTATGACAGCATCCATGGCTCTTTTTAGCCCAAAAGAGTTAATAGTTTTGTTTTAAGATTTTGCATTATTCACTCTAAATGGCTGCATCACTTTTTTGCGTTGTGCACTTTAAATGGCTATATCTCTTCAAATTGTTACCATCCAAACATTATCGCCCTGTATTATTTTTAAAGAAATTAAATGATGAACGTTTTCCACAACGGTAACCCTTCCCTTAAGCAGATAGCTCTTGAGTGCTTTGCCATGATTAAATAAAAATACAATAAAACCCTTATTAGACTGTGCATGTATTTAAAGGATGGCGAATGCTTACGATTTTATAATTGTTTAACCTTTTGATGCATGTTTATTTATTTGTTCTTTTTCATATTAAAAGGTGTGTGAACTTCACTTCAAGCAAGAGGATGTTCTGAGGCAAACTGAATTCTTTGATGAGAAAACTGGAAAGAAGATCATTATACCATTGTCATATCCTCGTTTAAAGAATGGTGCAATTCCAAGTCTGTTTCCTGATGGTCCGAGTCATCTTAGTTCCAGTGTTTCATCAAGGGAATCACCAGAGCATAAAAGACTCAAAAGAGAACAAGATGCACTCGAAAAAGCCTTAGCCTGTAGCTTAGCTGAAAAGGAAGAGTATGAACGAAAACAAATGTTTTATAATTTAGATGAACTAAAAATTTGTTTTAATACTGTGAATTTACCAGATAACTGGATAGTTATACACAGGCCTATACATACTATGATTCTTAATATTTCTAATGACAATCATCCAAGAATTCTAAAATCATTATTTATTGATTGTAATTTGAATATATCTGTAGCAATTAGAAATATACCTATTAAATCACTGAAGCAATATGTAATCCCATCAAAAATTAACAACCTTAAAGATCTTTTAAGTATTTTAGAGAAATTAGACCTATTTGCCTCAAATGATTCATCTGAAGACAGTATTCAAAATTATTTACAAATTGTAAATGAATTAATGACAATTTTAAAAGAGAAAATTCCACATAAAAACAATGAAATAAATTTTCTCGTTGAGCAACTATCAAACTTGAATTCAGAAAAACAACAATATAGGTATTCTGCAGACTTTCTAATATTTTCCACTTTACTTCACACAATTTCACCACATGCATATAATTTTATTCGAAATTCAGAAAATATTATTATGCCTCATCCACGGACCATTCAGAAAATTTTTTCAGATTTTAATATATATCCAATAAATGAACAATACAACCAAAAGTTCCTAAGCTACATAAAATTTAAATTTCAAGAACTATCAGAAAAAGATCTGCTTGTTATTTTAATGATTGATGAAATTCATCTAAATCAAGCATTTGATTATAAAGGTGGTAATTTGTGTGGAATGGCATATAATTGCAAAAATGCTGCATCTAGTGCATATGTTTTCATGATTCGCAGCCTATTATCTGTTTATAAGGATGTTGTACATATTTTGCCGGTGAAAACACTTAGTGCGGATAATTTGTATATTTATATTAAAAAAATTGTTGTGGGATTAGAAAATATTGGGTTTAAAATTATTGCTATTGTCACTGACAATAATTCGATTAATAAAAAGGCTATGTCTCTGTTTTCCGAACCACCTAAAGTTAGTATTGTTTATCAAAACCCTGTTGACAAATCTAGGCCAATGTTTTTTATTATTGATACAGTGCATATTTTAAAATGCATTAGAAATAACTGGATAAATCAAAAAAATAATAATCAGAGTATGTTTTTCCCAAGTTTTGATGATGCTTCACATATTGAAACTGCATCTTTTTCTTGTATTAAAAAATTACATGAATCTGAAACTGGTAAGTTATTAAAGTATGCTTATGGTCTGACAATAAAAGCTCTATATCCAACTAACTTAGAAAAACAAAGTGTAAAGCTTGCATTGCAGATTTTTAATGATAATGTTGTTGAAGCATTATTTTCTTTTGGGCAGCAGAAAGAAATAATAAATTTCCAAGAAACTGGAAACTTTATTAAAATAATAAACACATGGTGGTCAATTGTAAATGTGAAATCTATTTTTAAAGGGGTTCATAAAAATAATGTATTTGAAACACCTTTCACTGTGGCAGAAAATGATGAAAAATATGTTTTTATGAATAACTTTTTGAATTGGCTAGATAGTTGGAAAAATTTGAATTTAACCTCTGGTTGCCTAACCAAAGAAACTCACTTTGCAGTATACCATACAACGTATGCTTTAATTGAGATATCAAGGTATTGTATAAATGAGTTGGGTTTTAAATACCTTTTACTTGGAAAAATACAAACAGATATGTTAGAGGCTAGATTTGGTAAGTACAGGCAACTGGCTGGAGCTCACCATAATATTTCTATCAGACAGGTTTATGAAATAGAGGGTAAATTAAGACTTCAGAGTACATTACCAACCCTAATAAATTCTTCAAAATTTGGAAATATTCCTCTTCATGTATCTGATTTTAAAGACACTGAAGAACAAACTTTTGATGACACTGATGTACAAACATTCATAGATGAAATAACAGTTGAAGATAGTGATATACACGACATAAAATTGGATGTACCTATTTTGACTTATATAGCTGGATATTGCTGTTATAGTATGCTAAAAAAGTTAAAATGTGATGTATGTAAATCCAATATTACTATTGATAAGGGAGTTAGCTTTAGAAAACGATGAAAATATTCATTCATGGATTAAGGTTTTTGATAGAGGTCTTATGTATCCTCATCCTGATATTTTACATGCTGTTATATACAATTTTATTGTTGTTAAGAAACTTATTTCAGATGAATATGAGCAAAAATTTTTATTTTCGGCAAATCCACGAGTTACAGTGTGTAAAATTACTCTAAATTTACTTCATGAAAATTTTTTTTTAGAGTTGAATGACTGTCCTAAACTTCATGACCCTCAAATTATTTTGAAAAACATCATACAAGCATCAACGAATATTTTTCTAAATAATTACTGCAAAAAGTTGAATGATAATCTTTTAAGTAACAATTTAAATAAGCAACGGAAATTGAAAACATTAAAAAAATAATTTATGCATACAGCAGAAATGACATATACTATGTTTATAAGTTAGTAAACTTTATAAAATAAGATAGTGACACTAATCTATTGTTTCTTATTATCTTCAGACTTAACTTGTAATTCATTTTATTTAAATGAATATTTTTTGCAGAATGTAGATAGTATGTTAAATAAAAAAATAGTGCTTTTTCTATTTGTGTTGTGAAATCTTTACCAACTCTTTCAAAATGCATGCACACACACACAAAAAAAAAAGCATTTGTAATAGTTAACTAATTATGACAGTAAAGTGCTAAAGTTGTTAAGTCTCTTATATAATATCATTTTGTGCAAAATAGGTGTATTTATTGTAAACTAGAGAAATATTGATTTTTGAAGATAAAATACTTTGCCAATTAATATTACTATTGTTTAGATTTTGAAATCAGTATCTTGCAATTTTTTAATATTATTTTAATTGAAGCAGACATGTTTATTACATTAATTTTACACTGTAAGAAGAAAATAAATACAAATTTGTTTTTACCTACAATTCCATATGAGTCATTTTTATAGATATTCATGCATTTTTATGGAGGAAATTCACTGTATTCTTATACAATATTTTCATTGTAATACATGCTAAATTCTGTCAAAACTAAAATTAAATACTTTGGAATTAAAATTTCTAATGATGTGGTTGTACATATACAGGGGAAAACTTATCAAAAATAAATTGAGTAAAAAAATATTTTTAATCCTTCCCAGCTGTAAGGCTTCATGCAGTTATACTAAACTATTTTGATATTAAAAAGACTTAACTGTAATAAAAAATAAGTAGCATCAAGTTACATAAATAAATAGTCATCCCACCCTTTTTCCCACTGTAGTATGCAATGCCATTTCCTATTACTTCCAGTTATAAATTTACTAGGTACAAAAAATTCAGGCCAAAAAAAATAAATAAAATCCTTTTTATATGTTTTGCATCCTAATTGTGTTGCTTTCCTTTAATAAAAATCTGAATTATTTTGAAAATTTTAAATCTTACTTTACATCTTAACAATCAGGCTATATTTATTTTCATTTCTAATAGGAAAATACATAAAACTTGTTATTCTTTCAATTCTAAGAATTGAGGACATTTGATCTATTTAGATGTTTTAAAAGTTCCTACTGATTACCCTGATAAAAATTCCAGTAAGTACATATATAAACTTCATATTTATCATTTGCTAAAAAATTCTCAAATAAGTTACAATGAAATGCTTTCAGGAACAAAAATTTACAAGTTACAAAAAAAAAAAAAAAAATTATATGCACATAATTAGACAAAAGGGATGTTACAAACATTTAATAATAAGAATGAAACATAAGAATTTTGAATTCCTAGCAAGTGTCAAGTTTGTTGAATTTTTACAATTTTTCTTTTTTTTATTATTGGGGAAGATGCAGTTATGTATTCTCAAATAATGATCTAATTTAAAATGCCTAAATATATGAAATGTTTTGCTACCGTATTTTAAAACTACCAATGAATAAATATTGATAGATGCTAAAAAATAGTATTTTTCAAATCATTCTCCAGGTTTCTCATCTGTTAAGAAATTCAGTCCCACACTGAAGTGAAAAAAAAGCGGAAAATGACTAAACAATTATGTGTAAATTTGTATTTATGAGAAACAGAAAATGCCGTTAAAAATTGATTAAAATTAATTTAAGGATTTTTAGTGTTAATCAACTTGTAAACTTGCTTAATTATGCGTTATCCTCTTTGTTAAGGAAGAAAATATTTAATAAAATATATATTCTTCAGAAAGCAAACCAGCATCAGCCAGATATTCAGTATATATTTATTACTACTAATCTGAAGTATGTTGAATTAATTTCTTTACTATACTGTTATTATTTTAAGCATAAAAATATATAAGGAAAGTAAGGTTAGGTATTTGAAATTAGAAAATGCAGTCGATGAAATCAAATCGGAATATATATATTTGCACACACACACACACATATATATATATATTTAAAACCAAACGATATAGTAAGCCTTATGCAAGGAAATAAAAACTACTTTTCATTTTCTCTCCTCTTAAAGGAATAACAGCGATAAGTGGTTTCATGTGGCAACCATGCTTTCTGTACATAAGGACGACTTTAGTGACGTAGTGTGCGGCGTGCCGTGGCTTCGTTTATAGGAGGTACTGGTTCTAACATCTTATTATATAGACTAGACTAACCCAGTGGCGACGCTCGCCCGTCACGACCGACAGGTGGTGCGCTGCTCTTCTGGAGGGTAATAGTGGAGGTTGAACCTCCACGACGTGCCCAAAGGGAGAGTGGACCTGCAGTGAGATTAAATTTACTCGGAGCAGGGCAGCCCAAAATCCAACCCAGTGGGCGGGGCGCGCGTCACCGACATGTCGGCAAGAAAGAGTAGGGACGATCTGGTTTACTTTAACATTGAAACCTATGGCGTTTGTATCACATAACTCTTTTTAATTATTAAATGTGATACGTTGTATAGTGATGAGATTATGAAAGTCACAGTTTTTTTCAAATAGGATTTAATATATCTCATTTTACTGCATTTCGCGCATTTTTTTCACGCGTAATTCTTGTACAAACACCTTTACTTTGGTAAAACGGTAAAAACTCTAAGCACAAAAATTATGAACTTAATTTTGTGTACAAATAACGTAAAATTAAATAAGATTGATAGTACGTGATGTTTTAAAATAAATAAGATAAAATTAAACAAGATCTGATAATTTTTTTTAAAAAAATTAATGAACATTTTCATACAGTGATTTTCCAAACTATAGCATATCTTTAGAATTTCCGCACTGGAGATAAAACTGTTATTTTCTGTACAGTGCTCACTCTGAACTCGTTTCGTTTGTTAATAAAAAATTCATTAAAGTTTTACAAAATGTGAAATAGATTAAAACAAATTCGAAATTCGGCCGTCCAGATGCCCAAGTTCGGGTGGAGGATAACATTATTCAAAATTTGATGGCTCTAGATACTGTCGTTTTTGTCACAGTGCAAGAAACATACATGTATTCATGCAGATTCTTCATTATTTAATTTCTTTACATATAATACAGGGCGATAATATTTGGTAACAACAACTTGCAAGGAGACACGGACATTTATAGTAAAACACCGCAAAATGCCGCTTCGAAACTAATAGACTTTCTAGGCTACCGCCCTTTGGGTTAATAAATTAAATTAACAGTAAATAAAAAAAAAAAAAAATCTTATGCAGAACTAAAAATAAATTCAAAAATAATCATTATAAAATACAAGCAAAATTAATTATTACGGTTAAATACAATTTTAATATTAGAATTAAATGTATAAAAATTTTTAAGGAGTCAAAAGTGTTTATCACTGTGATGTATAGTGAAATATAATTCAAATAAAATTCCTTTATAGAAATTGTGCTATAATACTCATCTATAATTTTAAAAAAGCAGGACAATTTAGAATTTTAGACAAAACTTTCAAAAATTTGTTTTTAAATATTTTAGTACTTTTTACTTATTTACACTAAAAGAAGTAATTACAAATTTCCTTACAGCATAAGGAAAAGCTAAAAAAATATCCAGCCTGGAAAGCATGCAATAGCTTTATAATTATATGGAACGTTAATTATGCTTGATAAATATGCTAAATTTTTAAAAATCAATCTCAATTTCAAAAATAAAAATGTGGAGAAATTCTAATTTGTGAAATGAGGCGCTAAAACCAGCTTTTTCTTGACAATTATACACGCTGCAATAGGCAACCAATGTTAAATTTTTGCAAGTCATCCCTACTCCCCCGCATGTGATCAAGGTGACAGCCGGCAACGCCTCAGACGAGGGAGAAAACCCCGTTGGGTTAGTCTGTTTCTTATAAGGTCCATGCCCTTTGGGCTTAAGCGTCAAGAGCCGGAAATGTTGCGTTATAACAGCAATATCCCGGCAATATTGGTGATGATGATGATGAATAGTAGTGGTGGGGGGATTGGTTATGAATTGAGGGAAGCCTGCGGGACTTAGAGAAATAATTGTTTTTTTTGGGGGGGGGGCATTTAGTAGCTAAATTTTATTTTAAAGGAAATAAAAGGAAAAGGCTTTAGTATTAATTTAAGGAGCATGGGATAACTAGGTTTAAGCAATTAGACATACATAATTCAGTTAATTAAATAACAGCGAGTTATTTGTATATGAGCATTTTTAAAATTTTTTTAAACTTATTTATTTATTTATTTATTTTATTTTAATCGTTTCCAGGTTTGTTGAGCTCTTCTATGATAAGAAATAAAATGTACATTTTATCCATTTGAGTCAGATCTAAGGTTATTGAGGTTTTTCTTAAGTAGATTCGTTAATTTTGTAATTTTTTGCCAGCCGAAAATAGATTCAATTTCACGCATGACTTGAATTAATTCAAGAAATCCAGATGTGATTGGGCTTGGGTTATTTTTGAAATTAATTGAAGCTGAGGGTTTGATGATCGAAATTGTTCTGTTTTATGGCTGCAAGTGGGGGCTGGTTCTTGGTTGATTGGTAAGATAGGTTTAACAGTTTGTGTTTTTGAGTTTAATATTTCAG